GGGGGGGAGGTTAATTTGTTCCTAATTTAGAAGGTTTAAATCTTTATTTGGTGTAACTCCACTTGTCAAGTGGTAAAGATCCAAACAGAAAACACTTCTGCTCAACCATGTCAGATATGTTACCAGCATGTGATAGAAAAGGCACTCGCCTCACTTATGCCAGGCCTTCAAAGACATGTGCTTCGTATTTCAGGCTACCAAAATTCACCATAAGATTAACTGCCAGGAAAGAAAGAATGTCCCGAAACAATGTCATGTCTTGCACTTCCACAAAAGTTTGCTCTTGTACAATTGGGGCAGATAATGTTAACTGAACAGTGAATAGAGTTTCCACACACACACACACACACACGAGAGCTATGCTATTCCACCGATGAGATCCATTCCACCAAGATGCTATATCAAGTTCCAACTCACTTAACAAGGTTCTGACTTGTAATGTTAAAAAGCGAACTACCTCACTGAGATTCTTAAAATGAGCGCCACCTAGTCTATTCAAAGGAAAATGTCCATGATCATCAATTGAAAAGGAGCAGTTCAACATTCTTTTTTTATTATTAAAAAGATTTCTAAGCAATTAACCACCAATAATGCCTTGTGGAAACAAAAGTTTGTTAAACACTACCAGCCAAGAAAATGAACTTGTACACAAGCCATGAAGTCAATACTTGGTAGTAATTTTTGATGTGAAAGGTAAAGGATTTTATTAAAATTCAGTACCAAGGAGGTACAAAGAGGTAAATAATAACGTACTTGTCTCCTTCTAAGCATTTTAGGATTCTAGCAAGTCCATTATAGGATATATCCCATTTAAAATATTTCTGTCCCATAAATATAGATTACATCACATCTATACTTGAGATAAATTTTCTTTTCTCCCTTCAAAACATCTACGATTCGTTTCTATCCAAATTGTCCAATAATGCATAAAGGACTTGTTCTCCAGTATCTCTGCCGCTCCTTATGTCCTTCCCAGCAGTGAAGAGCTTGCTTCATGACCAGAGGCAAAGCCATGATTTCAACATTATGGGTTTTGGATTTTGGGACCACGGCTTCAAGTGTTAATGACTGGGTTATAGATTTAATAATTATACATATTTCATGAATTTCAAATCACCAAATATACTGTTTGAGCAAAAACTACTGGGTTTGGTCGAACCCGTAGGGCGGCTTGTGCCTCCGCCCCTATTCATGACGCCTGGCATGACCCACTGGACTCCAAAGATATTCAGGAATATTATCCATATTTCCATGTCCGTATGCAAAGTAGAAGGAGATGATTGACTTATTCATTAGCTTCGTCTCACATAAAATATCTACTGCAGAGACGGAATCCCCTTTTGTTGTAAGTAGCCATGTGCCAAATATGCTTTGCATGATGCTATCTATCCTAAGAAATCTAATTGGTTTTCCAAATAATTCTTCATGGCCAGTGGTCTTCTTCTTCACCTGATTGAGACGATATCCCCGTAGCAAGATTTAACAATAAATTTACCATTCTTGCTGCCACTCCAAAATGTGGGGTCACTCTTTATCATCCTAAAGTGTCACAGTTTCCAGCTCTTGCAGAAGGGATTTAAAGTTCTCAGTTTACATGGCTGTAAATGGATGGAAAGTGATCTTTCAGAGTCATATTCTCCAACAACTTATCATACCACATCTTGACATTTGGTTTTGGACCATTGCCACCTTCAGTCTTATTTTGATTTCATGCTTCATAGGAAACGGAAGAAGTAATAGTTGGTAATGGTGTGATGGGATACTTCGTACTCGTCAACTATTTTAATCAATGAGAGGGCATTCACCATCTACCACGACTTCTTCCATTTCCCCTGAAAAATGAAATCCCAATCCATTACTTTAGACGTGAAATGCATACCCTTCTTCCTCTCAGTCTTATTCTTGATAGTTCAAAGAGATGAACAACAATCAGGTAAGCCTTTCTCAGCCGAGAAGTTCTTCCCGAGTGCACAACACATCTATCTCTTGCTAGAACAACCTCTCTATCATTCCATTTAGCTTCAAAACTCACTATCATTTAGAATGTCCCCAGACCTAATAGAAATCAATACTTCAGATAGAAAATTCTTATTTCAAATGCACGACAAGGACATTCAATCTCAATGCTGCAATGAATATAGGAAATCAAACTTACGTGTTTGGACATAAAAATTGAAAATTGAAAAAAAGTAGTATTTAGAGTTAAGTTGAAAAATGGTATTTGGAATTTGAAATTATGTTTGGACATGCATTTCACTTGATAAAAATGTTGCAGTTTTGTGAGTGGGGAAAAAATTTTCTTCTGAAAAACTCATTTTCGAAAAACTTCCAAAAACTTGCAAATATTATGGACAAACACATTTTTGAAAATAAAATTAAAAAAAAGGAATTTTTTTTATGGACAAACGGGCCTTATTCATTGCTTGTGGGAGGAAAACCAGTTCTCGAGACAAACTTATCCTTAGTAAAACACAAGTAAATAATACTCCCTCCGGTCCAAAATAAGTGATTTTTTGGCTGTTTTCACACAGATTAAGAAATCCACCTTTTAACATTAATTAGCAATGAAATTGACCATATTAACCTTTACTATCTCTTCAAATAAACACTCCTAACACATACTCCAACACTATTAACTCCAAGGGCAATGTAGGAAAAAAATAATTAATTCATTCTTGAAATTTGAAAAAATCACTTATTTTGGACCACAAAAAAGGGGCCAAAAAGTCACTTATTTTGGACCGGAGGGAGTAATCAGTTTGGCGAAAAATTATAGTGTGTAGCTAGGTAGAAAGTTCTTTTTTATGTATATTATATATTGACTCCCCTCGACTTCTTCATGAGTTTACTTCCTTGTATTTTGACCCCCTTAGTAACACTTTTGGCTCCGCCACCGACAACAATGTTGCATATTGCACATACAACAACTTTGCTGAAAAGCTATTGTAAATCAACTTTTGACCTGTGGTCTATCAAATGCATTTGGGTATCCCGAATACAGAAGTGATTCAAACATCAAGCTTATATATATATATATATATACACACACACACACACACTACACACTTTGTGTAATTTTCTGAATATGCAAATTTTTTATTTAAAAAATAAAAAAACTAAGACCTCAATATCTGAATTCACAGAAAATTAGATTACTTGACCTGTCCTAGACCATCCATGTAGTAATTGATATAGTAAAAAAGAAAACATGGGAAATTAGAATTTCTTGATCAACTACATAAGAGTAATTCATAAGTAAATAAATAAAAGGAAAACCCACTTTAATGCAAAGGTTACCGGTACAGATGACATGTTGGATCTTGCCAGGAACAAGCATAGACTTGAACTTTGGAGGTAAATCAGCTGCCCTATGTGGGATGTGAAGATCACCCAATGCTAATACCAGCACCATTCTCTTTCCCAACGACCAAAACTAAATTCCTCTGGAGATTTAAAGACGATGCAGAATCTTGGAACGGAACCTCAGAATTTGTCCCAAGACGTGCCCATTGAATTGAAACTCTTTCATTTTGGAAAAATAACTAATTGTGTGAGTAAATTCAATTCAACCCCCTTAACTTTTGGGTTAGGAAAACAATACTCTTTCACCAATTGCACAAATGACCTTATATGAGGCCACTATTTAACTTGTGTCCCTCCTTATTTTATGCAAAAATAAAAGGAATTTTTACACCCTATAGAAAACCTTAGTACCCTATTTATTTTAAATAAATACCATTTTAAAATATTACATCCTATAGCTAGGTTAACCGTGCTATAAACAAGGCTTCGCGAGGTCTATAGCCAGGTTGACCGCACTATAGACAAGGCTACGTGAGGTGTATAGCCAGGTTGACCGCGCTATAGACCAGGCTTCGTGAGGTTTCGACCGCGCTATAGACCAGGCTTCGCGAGGTCTATAGCCAGGTTGACCTCACTACAAACTAGGCTACGCGAGGTCTACAGCATGGTAATTAAAAGTCGCGAGTTAAAAGACTCTGACCTGGATTTGGACTCAAGGACTTCAACCCTGGCCTATAGATACTCCCTAAACATGCCAATACCGGAGGAGAGCCGTTTTTAGGGAAGATTCAACAAAAAGGGGGCATTTTTGGAGATGGTATTCAGCCTAAGGAGGCAAGAACACGCTAGGAGTAAGGCGGCAAATTCTTCTATGAGTTTTTCACTTCCTTCTTCCTATTTTCATTATTGGTTATGAATTCTAGTATTGTAGTTTGACATACTATTATGAATAGTTAATTCGTTATCTAGAGTTTTGATAAAACCTTTTGTAGGATAAATTCTTGTTATAATTTTATATAATTGAGATGTTGGATTTTTCTACTTGTTCAACTATGTGTTTATTGTTGTTGATTGAATGACCATCAAATAACTGTGCCTATTTAGTGTGTATATTGCTCTGAGAGAGAGTACGCATTTATGTAGTTGTTAAACAACATCAGTCCTAACGTATGTGAGAGATCAATACGGAGGATTTAAAGATGTGATTAGAGATAACGAAACATTGGTGCGACCGTAGTGAGCGGTGAATTAGTGCCAGGCAGCGTAGTCGAGAGAATACGTCTAATATATTGTGGTAGTTTCGAGAGAGAGAGCTACGACACCCAAAGTACTCGCGGCTGGTAGAGAATACTTAGGCGAAATTATAGAAGGCATAGCGGAAAGGATTCCGACAATTGAAAAAATCATAACTCTAAACCTCCTTAGTCTTGTCTCAAATTTCATCCTTGTTAGTTGATAATTTTATTGCTTTATAATAGTTGTTAGTTAATTAGTTAGAAATAAACATTATAATTTTTATAATTAGAAAATTGTTTGGACTGGTGTTTCTTAGCAATATTGAACAACTGTAGCTAAGCCTGAGTTCTCTGTGGGATTCGACTCCGGACTTGTAAACCAGATTATATTTGCAACGACAGCTTAGTCCTTTTTATAAGGCATAATTGGGCGTGATCAAATTTTGGCGTCGTTTCCGGGGAACTAACGGTGTAGCTATAGGCGTACATATTGCTAAGTTTCAAGTTTGAACTTTTATTTTTATTTTTATATTTGATTTTTTTATTATTTTTGTTTTACTTGTTGATTTGAGAAACTTGGCATCTTGGAACACTACTAGAGAATCTGGTTTTAGCGATGGACAAATTCTGTAGCTAAACAGAAAAATCCGTCGCTAATCTCATTTAGCGACAGATTATCAAGAAATTCTGCTAGCTACGAGTGATTTAGCGACAGATTGGCGACGATGTTCCTAGCTAATTCCAAATTTTTTTTTTGTAGTGGAATTATGAGAGTTTTGATGTTGGTAATTCTACTATTGATCTTTCTAATGCTTATTGTGGAGGAAACCACATGTGGCAAAATTATCAAAATATTTCCGAGAGCGAGTTATGTGCACCAACTCAATCTTATGTCTGGAATGTATGTGATATTTGTGGTGGTCAAGATGGTCACTTTTATGATTGTGCTTGTATTTTTTATCCTCCCCCAACTCCTTATTATGATGGCTCTATATTTTCTTGTGAAGTTAATAGGAACAAAGAACCCGGGAAGCTGACCTGAAGGAGATCAAAGATATGTTAAAGTGTTTCATTGAACAAGGTAATGAGAAAAAACTGCAAATACAAAGGCTATGTGATACTATCCAAAGGCAAGAGGCAATTATTCATAACCTGGAGGCACAAGTGAGTCAATTAGTTAAAGCATTTAATGCTCAACAAGCTGATATTGTGGATAGTAACCAAAAGGAGCATGCATTACCGAAATTGAGGTTCTAATGGAGGAGGTCAGAGTAGAACACCAGGAATCAATCAAACTAGAATTTGAGGATGCCGATGCTATAAATACTAGAGTCAACCAAGGATATTGAGGATACATATTTAATTGACTCTAGTGTCATTGGTCTTGAGGATGTAGACAGTCCAAATGTTCATGTAGGTGAGCGCATTAGTCCACACTGCAAACATTTTTCCACATTATGTTTGGATGATGATATAGAAATAGAGTCATTCGACCCACTTGAGGAGTCAAAGAATGAGGAACATGGTGCCTACATTCCGGAATTCTTATTTCCAGAAAGTCGGGATTACACACCTCATCTAAAGGCCACGAAGTGAATACTACATTATTTCATTGGGCCAGTTAGATTCGTTCCACCACCCCAGGAACATAATCACAAGCTTGAAGCAAAACTTGGGGTCTAATTCATAAGTTCGAAGTGGGGGCAAAAAATAGTTCATGTCGTGCCGCGACGTTAAATCAGGCGCTTGTTGGGAGGCAGCCCAACTTTACTGCGTTCTTTTATTTCTTATTTTTTTAAATTTTCTTACTTTTTTTAATATAATATTCTTGTACTGTCGTTTTGTTTTATTTTTTATGTCATAGTGTTTGAGCATGAAAAATAAATCCATTAGAAGGAAGTAAAAGAAAACAAAATGGTTGGAACTAAGTGTGAGGTACTCGCACGAAGGACCGGGCTTGGGAGAAGTCTGAGTATCCCACGAGTTGCTGATGCTTCGGCCTTTGGCCTACCAGGGAGTTTCTTTCACTTTCTTGTTATTTATGGTGTGCATTGGGGACAATGCACAATTTTGAGTGTGGAGTGAGGAGATTGTCTGAGTGATTTTCTATGCTACTTTAGTTGTGTTAATTTAATTGAATAATGCTTTTGTTAGAAAAATGGAAAAAGAATGGAATTTTCCCGACGATGGATATCCTAGACAATTTTCTTGAGGGTTTAAAGTCTAACAAAAAATACAAACAAATAGAAATAGAAAAATTCAAAAATTATGTCTTTTAATTTTTACTTTAGGTATTAATAATCCCCTGTGGCTTGTCTTTGTTCCTCGGTTCTTTTCCATGGGATGTAGTTAAACCGGGTCATATTTTTTATTTTTATTTTTAGAATAAAATAGGATTTAGGGAATAAAAGAAGGAAGATGAAATATCTAGGCGCCATTTTGACTTGTTTGATAGTAGCATATTTAGGCTCTAGCATGTGTAGTACCTTCCTTATGGTTTGAAAATGCTTATGATGCCTTGTTGGGTAGATAATATGTTATTGACGCCTATATCTCATTTTTTTGGCTTGTGTCACTTTGTGCTTGATGCTTAATATGTTGTGGCTCCGTGAACATTTGCAATTATTTGATCATTGGAATGGAACCGTCCTTAGTGAGTCATGTTCCATGTGTGGTGAGAAATTGTATAGTCCATGTCATTGAATTAGAGTCTAGAACTTGTCCGACATGTGAGTTGAAGCGTAATTTTAGGCTTTGCTCGATTTGAAAAATAATTTTAGGCTTTCTTTGATATTTTTGAACTTAATGCCTACCACAATTAAATTATCCCTAGTCAACCCTTTGAGCTTATAGACTTTTATTTGGCAACCACATTACAAGCCTATACCATATATTCTTAATTGTCATTGTTTTGATCCTTTTACCTCTTAAAGTACTTTAATTGTAAAATGAGCGCTAAAAGAAGTAAGGATAGAACTTGGGTGGATTTTAAGTGGAACCAATGAAAGAATGAAAGATCCACCGTATTGTAAGGAATACACCACTAGCAGGAATGGTAGAAGAGAAAAAAAAAAGAGTATTGTTGAAAAGAAAAAAAAAATATGTAGTAAAGGAAAATAAGCATATCTTGTCCTTGCTAGTGTGTATGAATTAATGTAGTGCTTAAAGAAAGAGGAAATATTTTTATTGTTTGTAAAATTAAAGTGGATTGAAGAATTTGCGCTTGAAGTTTATTATGTGATGTGTTAAAGTGCTTGAGAGGATGAACCACTAATCCAAAATATATCTTACCCTTCCTTTAGCCCACATAAAACCATAGAAAGGCCTAATTGATTTTAGATCGAGCAAGCCTACATTACTAGAGGTTTACATAATGGGCAAGCCTATGGTACTTTGTACATGCATGTGACTTCTTTGTGAGAGTGAGGGATTTCTTTGATATATGTGAGTCCTTAAAATATATTTGAGCATTTGATTTGAATGTGTGGATTCAACTTACTCTCTTGTTCTTGTTGTGAGGGCACATGATTTCGCAAGGGATAGGTGACGTTATTAGATTTCTCTATGATGTCAAGTGTTCAAGCCATGAATGCATTGTGATATTGAGTCGGTTTGTGAGGTTAGGATTGCTATAAGCATGTAGTCTTTGATGAATAAATTTTTGAAGTATTGCATAAAGTAAAGGGAAGTGTGTGTTGAAGACATATGCTAAAATTTAATTGTTGCTATCAACCATAGTCATAGGTATGGTGTGCTTCACATGTGCTTAAAGAAAATAAAGTGCTCTAGGTTAATGAAAATTGGTGGTTGACTCGAGGACGAGCAACGTTTAAGTGTGGGGTGGTGATGTGAGGCCAAAATGCTATACTTTTAGCACATTATCCGCCCTATATTTTGTTGGTCTAATGAGTTATTGTGCGACATTTAAGCTACATTTTATTGTTTTATGTGTAGGAACATCAGAAGGAATTGTCAAATGAAAGTTGCACAAAAAGAGGACAAAAATACAAGAAAAGAGCACAAAAGCATCAATTATCCAAACCGT